AATAGGTGCCTCCTTCAGAATATCCTTGTAACTAAGCAATTTGTAAAAGTTTCCTGTTAATTATAAGATAATTCGGTAGTCTCATATAAGACGTTTTGTTTGTAATTCTCAATAATATAAACTTAATTCTAGATATAAGACAAATTTGGGACTGGCAACTACAAGATTGGAACCACAGGCATGTCTCTTGCGTGTTGATTTAGCAACGAATTCTTTAATCTGATACGTATTTATTCTTTAATGGGATTCCTTAACAGGAAGGTTAGTTTAAACAGCCCACTTTTTCCACTTGACACAATTATGGACATTTTGATTTCAGTGAATTTGCTTACTAAAACTGAAATAGTAACAAGCGTAATTTTACTGAGAAGGGAATTAAAATATATACAGAACGAATGTTACTATTGATACATAAAACTCAACTGTATAGTTAAATATTCTGAAATATGTGCGATTTGGTTCCTCCCGTCGCCTCTGAAAATATTTTGGACGACAAAAATGTTGTCTTTCTGATAGTATTGATGTAATTTGCGTAGCTGAATAATAAGTGTGTTATTAAATTCAGCTTTGATAATTGATACACGCAGCTCCCTCCATTTATACTGAATACTATCATTATGGATGTCAGCTAGCACAAATCTTCATTATAAATGTTGATCTAAATTACGTCTCGTATGTTGAGATTTCAGGTTCTCATGGCGACGGGTGTAAAGGTGATTGTTTTCTGGGATATTGCACCGTGTGGTCTAGAAGAAGTTTACCGACGTTTCAGAGGTGTTTACTGCCTCCATCAACAGTCTGATGACGGAGGCAGTATGACCACTGAAACGTTGGTTAACATCGACCAGACTACACAGCGCAACAACCCAGAAGACAGAAATCTTCATACTCATCGCCCTGATGACGGAGGCAGTATGACCTCTGAAACGTTGGTTAACATCGACCAGACTACACGGCGCAACAACCCATAAGACAGAAATCTTCACAGTCACTTTCTCGTATACTCATTGTTCAGAAGTTTAATTTGTTGAACTACATGTTTCAGTCCAGTTTGACCATTATCAGTTTTTCAAGTAAGTTCGAAGTCTATGCACTGGAAATGTTATCACTTATTCTTTCCATCGATGTTATCTCAAATAATAACAAGCTTAATAATGGACTAGTTAACTGTGTTAAAGTTGCTGACACAGCTTGGTGAGTCCAGATGTACTTTGTATCTGAACTGTTTCTTGTGGAATAAAACATGAATAACACTACTTAACAGTGATATTGTGTAAAAGTGACTGTTAATAATTAATCATCAATAATCAGCGTAACACATGGAATGCTACACTGCATAGCTAATATTCTGTCCCATTGAAATCTCATTTCTTCTCCTGTACTGACTAAGAATACGAGTGAGAAATATATGTTCAGTTGTCAATTTATTTTCATACTGATGATTCGTGTTAATGTAGTCTTTTATCAATAGTAATCTCAGAACAAATATATAATGGTATAAATAGACATTTAAAAAAAATTACGTCCGAACTACAAGTGTTTAAAAATTTCATTTATCCTACTGTTTGCTTACGTAGAACGAGGCATGAGAAAAACCAGTAAGTAAACTGCAATTCACAGCAATCAAAGTTCAGGAGGACCATTCTATTAAAATTAATTATTAATACATTTATTCTTATGCCTTTTATGAAATATTTTTGTCCTTAATGAATACTTAATAGCCTTATAATCACTTTTAACGTATAATTTTTTCCAAGGAGACCCGCTGTTTATTTCAGATTACCACGCGAGTAAGAACTATTGTTCAGTCTTTATTAGACGGTATTAAAGTGGGCGATGCAAGATAATGGGCAAATTATATAGTGCTGATAAAACATAACAGGTCTGTGAATTTTGGTAGCATTCTATTATAGTATTACTACAAAGTGTAATAATCTCATCTTCAATTAAAATTATTACATAAATTATATTTGCATGATAAATATATTAAATTATTCTGAAACCAAATTTGATCGATTTATTTAAATGAGACTTTTTTAAGCGCATGAGCAGTGGCGTAATTGCGCGTGGGCTCTATTGCGTCTGTCATATGGCACACTTGGAATATCTCGTAGGTTTTAAAACAAAGTATGTTTTGAAAATAGGGGTAATCTGTGCTAACTTCTCCCTAAATATTTCTAAGCTTAGTGGCAAGTTTGTGTATGGTTTTCTCTTTACGTTTTACCGCACCGTAAAGAACATTGTATATTCAGTATGGACACATTTGATAAGATGCATATATCCACTGGAAAGTAACGTCTTTAAGTTGCACAAGCTCCTCCTGAGTTATGACATTTTAGATTAGATCATATTAAAGCATAGATTTGCCCGTAGGAGAAAGAATGTGTTTCACTTTATTGGAAAAGAAACAGTGAAAACGAAGAAGTTTATCCTCAAACAGGTGGACCCAAGTTTATGGTCACTTTCCCGAGTGATTAAGTTTGCATCACTAAGTAATGCTCTAATATGTCAATAACCACAGGCTCACACTTTTTGTCTAAAGTCCGCGTGTCCAAAAATAAGTCCTAGAGTTTCACCCCTGCTCCCATGACGTCATTATATATACACACACACACACAGAATAGTCCAAAAATATGATGTATACACGTAATATGGACTATTAACATTGTTATCAGTTGTTCACCGCTGTCAACTGTGCCACGAAGCTAGCTGTGTGCATTTTGAATATACCTACATTAGAATCGCTAATTCACTACGTGCCAGTGCTGATGTATGTGATGATTTAGTTTATTAAAATGTCTATTTCATCCACTGAATGTGTGTATATACCTTTTTGGAACTTCCTGTACATATATGAGCCTATGGACTCTTCATCGAGTTCCATCTAATCCTTTTTAATTGTAACACTAATCACTCATCGTGTGATATGGAGAGTAACTGTATGTTCTGTTCTTAATTTAAATTCTATATTTATGGCTGATGATAGGACCTACCAAAGTAATTCTGCTTCATATAAATGGCCTATGCTTATCGGTAAAATCGTTTTCAATCATGGCCATAAATCAAGGCGCTTTGTCATTTGTAGAAAATAGCAAATAATTCTGAAAAGTTAGTAGCACACTGCAATCACTGGTCTGAATTTTTTGACGAAAGAGAAAATCCACATGCAAATAATGGTTCCTGCTTTCAGTTTGCATTGGCGTAATTATAAATAAATTTTCCTCCCAAACCGAGCGTTTCCGCGGTGATGAAATGTTACTAAACAACTTGGAGACAGGTTCTCGTGGTTTCCCTCAGTCCCTCCAGACAAATACCGGACAACTTGGAAACAGGTTCTCGTGGTTTCCCTCCAGACAAATACCGGTATGACATCTTCAATTAGGTCCTATCAATCAATGCTACAGATGTAAGCTTATTGTCTGAATTACTGACAGCTCGTTAAATAAACTAAAAATAATTAAATAGACTATTACTTATTTATAATAGCTTATCATAATCATCAGTGGCAGTGTAGGGTTGGGTACTCGAATATAGGCCTATAGCCAGCCTCTTTCCACAGAGAGAAACCCGATTATGTTGCAAATAGAAATCGCTGGAAAATATTTACACTGAAGCAAGTTTAAAAACCGTAATTTATCTGCGTTTGTTACGCATATTTATTTCCAGTATTCTTGTCAGCCTAGTTTCAAAAGCATTGTGGCATCCATCGACTTCATTAAGCCTAGAAGGGCTACTTTAGACATGAGGAATGAAGAATAAATAAAAATGGATATTTTCAAATAGGCTGCTTTGGAATAAATATAATTTTTCGCCAGCATTCTGAATAAACGCGTGTCTTTTAACGCAGATTTTATTCGTGTGTCAAGCCACGTGGTTTTAAAATAAACACTTCCGAGCCATTCAGTGACTCTGTGAGAATGCAGACCTAATAGCAAAAATTTCTAAAATTAATTAGGCCTAATTAATTTAGTTGCTTATTTTAGTTTATAAACTATAGCTTATTATTTACATTGAATAATTGATTAACATTAATTTATGCATTACGTATAAAAGGAGTTAAATGGAACACTATTATACAATATTTTAGGCAAAATGAAATTATGCTTTGAAAAGTAAATGGGTTGGCCACACCACCTCGTTAGTAAGTCAGTTTGAATTGTAAATCATTTTACTTTTCTGACATTTAAATACCACAGACAAGACCACATAATCCACATAATTAATCTTGGGTATTATCTAGGGGAAGAGAAAATGCATGTATCTGCCCTGCATATACAAACGCCTTGAGGCGTAAGAAATTGAAATGTGGGATACTAAAAAAAATAATAGACTACTTCCGTACAAAAATAATTTAATTGAAATTCTTAGTTGTTTCAATCTTCTAATGAAAAGGGTAGGCATGTATTAGAGCACTGATTTGCGAATCAAGAGAACTTGAAAGGTTCTGGGATGGATAGGCATGTATTAGAACACTGATTTGCGAAGCAAGAGAACTTGAAAGGTTCTGGGATGGGCTGCAAGGGGTGTAGTTAGTCTGTCAGTCCACAGCCGCTGTCAGGTACGAACAACGAGTGAACTGGACCGTTTACACAAGGATTGTCGGGCCTATAAGACGCTACTGAAATAAAAGAACAAATAAATTACAATGCACCAGTACTCAGAGTAAGTGTAGAATTAATGTGCTGTGTACAGGTCAGGAATTTCACCTCACTGAATGCTATTTCTCGGAGCTCTACAGTTAAGTTTATGACAGGAAATTGAGGTTTTTCGCAAGAAACGACCAAGGCTAATAATAATAGGCTATTACATTCAGGCTAAGTAGTGTTGTTAATGTGGACAATTAAACTTTAAAATGAACATTATATTATCGTTTCTGTGCAGACCTGTGTCGTGCTGCAGAGAATCGCCATACTTTAGACATTTTCAGTGTTACTGACACTGGATTATCAACATTGGTCGCTCTTCTGTTTCAGTATTATACAAAGGAGTAAAGTGTCTGTAATTTAGTGTTTATTTTTTATTAATAGTAAGCCTAAGTTGGCCGCAAAGCATAAGAACTGAAATTGGAGCTTTTGTTGCAAGACGAAACGTTACTTCTAGTGACATATAAAATTACCACGGCAGTGCCAGAGTCAAGACGAATAATGCAGATGCACTTTCTTTATATATAAAATCTCTTGTCAGTATTTACATACAATATTTCCACAGATTTACTATACAATTATGCACATAGCTGAAGTTCGACACAGTCCCTAGAAATCCGCATGACACCTAAACACCTACAAGGAACAGCACATAGTGGTTCAGTGTCTCGGCTCACTGTTTTGGAATAAGTTAGAGGAACATGCTGGACTCACTCAGTACTTGGGAGGGCCGCTGCAGTCTTGCTGCTGGTAGTACGAAGAAGCGGACCGGTAGACCGCGGCGCTCGCAGGCGGGGAAGCCGTCACAGCGGAACTCCGGAACCCGAGCTGACAGCTGGGGTTGGGTACTGCTTCGAACAAGTCCCTGAAGCCGGAAGTGGGCTCACTAACCTCTGCGTTGCCGTACCAGGCAGCACTCGCGGCCCCCGGGTGCCGCCCCCCGCTGAACTGCTGTGTCGCCCCTAGCTGGTGATGAGTCGTCGTCCCAGGGGTGGATGCAGTGGACGTGGTCGGGACGAGCAACTCGTCCTGGTGCATGATCCCCTGGTGGTACTGCCCCGTGCAGTGATACGAATACAAGGCCCCCCGCGACCCCGTGTAGCTGAGATGATGCTGCTGCGGCG